GTTTTCCATGAAAGGACGAATGTACTTTCCAATGACGATTTTAATTTACTTTCTGGAAGAAATTTTAAAGAGATTTTTCTTTAGTAATTGTAGCAAATCGCATATCGGACTTAATAAAGGAACATAAAGGAATTTCATGCACGGCAGGTGGGCAGTGTGTAAACGTGAATTCCGTACGTGCACCGTTAAATGGAACTATGCGGCAGTGGTATAGAAAGCATAACCAAAATCTTTAGAATTATAGTCTAGAAACTATTAAAAGAACGACTATAAATTACAGGTGATCAGTTACTTTTCGAACTCACTGCATTTTTTTATCAAAAAGTAAAATCCTGTTTACAAAATACAGTATTACGTCTAAAATCAATTGACATTGTTTTCTTATAACATTTTAAATGATTAGATTTACAATGTGCTTGCCAGTAAGCTGCATCTTCACATGATATATACTGTGGCCAACCAGCATCATTATATCAGGTGGACTGCATAAAGTGAACAAACATCTCTTGCTTTGGTTTTGGTTTACCTTGAGTCTCGCAATGCAAATGATACCATCAGTGCTTGTCTTCACTCCGTACACTTTTTGAAACCTAACTCCGAAGTTCTTCACGGGCCACCTCATTTCCTGAAGCACTGCTGTAATTTATTTCGGAATGCATCCATGAGTTCTTCAGTCTTTGAGATTTGCCCACCCAGCGGCCGCGTAGTTGAATTTCTGAGCTTATACAGCTTCACTCGGAATTCATATTTGGGAGAAAGGGTTGTCTATATAGGAGTTTTCGTGACTTTTCCCATGAGTAACGTGAGTACGAACAAGTGTTTCTTAAAAAGTCTCCAAAAAGACATCCCAGATAAGTTTATAACTTAAAGCCAGACTTAAGCAGATAGCTTATGTGTGTTTTGCCATACCTAAATAATTCAGTCCAATCCAATTTAATAGAGTTCTCCAGTTCATATTTGACTATTTCCGCTTTTAGATGCTTCCAAAGGATAAAGCTTGGTGAGTGTGAGAGCTTCAAAAGTTTTCTACGTAATAAAAAGATCTCGTGTAAAGAGTTTTTCCGTGGAAGGAGGAATTAGAAGTCTATTCTACTTCCATGGTTTTCTCTGCACTTCTATGGATACTCTTTCTGGCAATGTTGCAGCTACAGCATTCTCTAGTATTACAGCAATAGCTAAATTTCTAAAATTAGAAGTGCCTAAGCTCTTTGAAAAACCATTAAAAATAGAAACAAAAATAAATAGATAAAACAACAAACATTGAGCTGTTAAAATTAAGTTAAATGCAAAGAAGCAAACAAAAAGCATTTGTACATAAAATTAACTTAACATTTTCTGGTAATATTTACGAATTAGTTATACAACTAAGTATCGACATTACACATAATTAATAAAATAAAATAAAATGTAAGAAGCAAACAAAAAACATTGGTACATTTATAAGGTATTTTATCTCTCCTTTTCACATGTTTTCGTGGTGCAACTGGAAGCACACTCGATGCATATTCAAGAGGTCGAGGGTTCTAGTCCCGGCAAGGGCATTGCACGTATTTCACGCTTCAGGGGGAAAAAAATGGTAATGAATGACATTACATGTTAAATTCATTTAATAATAATGATACATTTTTTCTGGTGATAGTTAGGAATCAGTTATATAAAGTATTGAAATTCATCTTATTTGGGGTTCCACTCAAAAACTGAGAAGTAGCAAAGCCAGGCTTCAGTGAGCTGCGCTTAAATTTAAGTCCTAATTATAGAGCAGTACTGGTAGAGTTCTAAAATAACGGCTACTGATGACAATATTCTTAATGTTCACGCAATAAATGCGACTACTAAATCTTTCACATTATCGATGATATCTACGCAAGTCAAATATTTCTTAAAATTTAAATTGCATTTATCACAGTTGAACCTGTAGAATTTGACTTTCTTTGGTAGCATAAACTAGTCTCAAACACCTAACAGACTTCGAGCGAATCATTGCTGTGTCTGAAATAACAACAGAGTCTTGAAAAGATTTAAAACAACCTTTTTATAAAAACAGAACTTGAACATAAACTCATGTTTTGTGCTTGACAGTATCAACCACCACTTATGGCGATGCGACAGCGGTGTTTATATGAAAAAACAGAACAGCTACGCAAAAAATCGGCAGGTTCATCCATATCATTAATATATCTGCAAAAGTTTATTTAATTTTAGTTAATAGGATAAAGATTATTAAAACAATAATAGTTTCGAATTATTAAAAACAAATATAAATTTTTCTTAATTATTTAATCCAATATAAAATTAACTGAATGTGTTTTAAAGGTAGAAGTTTACATACAATAAAACAAAATTGCTTTCGAAGGGGAAGAGATTAATATGGTCCGCAAAACATTATCATTTATAAAAGTGATCCCCATTCGAAAAGGGTTTTGAGAACGCTGAGTGGCTACCGGTGGAATAATGAATCATAGTCAGCGGGTTCCTGGCATAGACCTTATAAGAAATAGACTAACCCAAACGGGTTTTCTCCCTCGTCTGAGGCGTTGCCGGCTGTCACCTTGATCATACCCGGAGGAGTAGGGACGACTTGCAGAAATTTAACATTGGTTGCATATTGCAGCGTGTATAATTGTCAAGAAAAAGCTGGTTGTAGCGCTTTATTTCACAAATTATAATTTCTACATATTTTTATTTTTTAAATTGAGATTGATTTTTAAAAATTTAGCATATTTATCAAGCATAATTAACGTTCCAAATAATTATAAAGCTATTGCATGCTTTCGGGGGGATATTTTTTTAGCTTTTCCTATGCTGTAAGGAATTTGTAACTACTCTTTAGAAATAAATTTTTTTAAATCTGAACTAATAGAAAATTTCAAACAAGCAATTTTCTCTTGCAATTTTTTATGTTTTTTATTGGTGGTTGTAAATAAGTAAAAAAGTACTAAAATATTTAAAAACGAATTTTTGAAAGTTTTGTTTAAATTCTAAATTGTGCGCTTTTTAAAATTATAGATGAGTATAACACAATTTCTATAAGAGAATTTTATTCCAATTATATTTCATAATACATCAAGTGATAAACACTTATGACTTCTTAAAAATTGTATACATTTAATTCTAATATTAAAATTGTATTTAACCGTAATAATTAATTTTGCTTGTATTTTATAATTATTATTTTTTTTAAATTTATTTTTAGATCGGCATAAGATTTTTTTTATTTACTGTAAATTTAATTTATTAGCCCAAAGCGGCGGTAGCCTAGAAAGGCTGTTAGTTTCGAAGCGGTATTTTGCACTGTTTTACTATATGTGTCCGTGTCTCCTTGCAAATTGTTGTTACCAAATATTATCGCCCTGTATTATATGTAAAGAAATTAAATAATGAAGAATTTGTATGAACACATATATGTTTCTTGCACTGTGACAAAAACGACAGTATCTAGAGCCATCAAATTTTGAATAATGTAATCCTCCACCCGAACCCGAATTTCATCGTTAGTTTCTAAAGATATGCTGTTTTCAAATGTATGTGGTTTAACGGCGAAGAACATGATATTTAATATATATAGGTTACACACAAAACTTTAAAAAAAGGTTCCTTTTGGGCTTAATATAAAATCTGAGTGCTTCTAGATTTTATTTTATCTTTTTTTCCCCCCTTCATTACGCTCAGAAAATTTTATGCTCCGAATTTATAAATTATTAAAATAATTAATCCACTTTAATGTTAATAATCTAATGATCATATAATCAAATAAATATGATCGTTTTTGTAATGTTATTATAATTGGAAAATCACTGCCTGAAAATGTTCATTAATTAAAAAAAAAAAAAAAAAAATATCAGATCTTGTGGTAATTTTACCTTATTATTTCAAAGCATCACGTACATCAATCTTATTAATTTTACTTTTTTTTACGCAAAATTAAGTTCATAAATTTTGTGCTAGAGTTTTTTACCTTTACCAAAGTAAAGATTGTTTGTACAAGAATTACGCGTGAAAAAAATGCGCGAAATTTAGTAAAAAGTGCTTTAATGAGATGTATTAAATCCTATTTGGAAAAAACTGTGGCTTTCATAATCTCGTCACTATACAACGTATCACATTTAATAATTAAAAACAGTTATGTGATAAAAACGCCATAGGTTTCAGTGTTAAAGTAAACCAGATCGTCCCTACTCTTTCTTGCCGACATGCCGGTGACGCGCGCCCTGCCCACTGGGTTAGTCTATCTCTTATAAGGTCCATGGTTCCTGGCATTCAAAAATTCGTTTTTAAATATTTTAGTACTTTTTACTTATTTACACCAATAAAAAAACATAAAAATTGCTTGTTGAAATTTCTATTCGTTCAGATTTAAAATATTATTTTCTAAAAGAAAGAAGAGTAACAAATTTCCTCAGCAAGGAAAAGCTAAAAATCCAGCCCTGAAAGCAGCAATAGCTTATATAATTATTTTTGTAACGTAATTATGCTTGATAAATATGCTAATTTTTAAAAATCAATCTGATTTCAAAAAATAAAAATATTAGAAATATAATTTTTGAAATGAGACGCTACAACCAGCTCTTTCTTGACAATTATACACGCTGCAATAGGCAACAATCTTTAATTTCTGCAAGTCGTCCCTACTCCTCCGGATGTGATCAAGGTGACAGCCGGCAACGCCTCACAACGAGGGAGAAAACCCGTTTGGGTTAGTCTATTTCTTATAAGGTCCATGGTTTCTGGGCGAAATTCCCATCTCTATCTAGTGCAGAATTAATTTTTCTAAGACAACTCGTGTGGATCACGTCGTAGTGGATCACTCGACTCACGGGTGGATGAAGAGCGCAGCCAGCTGCGAGAATTTGAGTTAATTATAGGACACTTATTTTTCGAATGCGCATTGCGGTATGGGGTGATTCTGGAATCTCGCTGTGAGTATCATGCCTCCTAGATATAAAGCCAATGGACAGGTTGTAGAAAAACAAGTGTGACGTCAAAGTTAGTAGGCCCACGTGATGTTCTCGAGGTTTGGATTCTCAATTGGGAAGCCATTGCTTTGCGGTGTGTACATAGACTGGAATGTTAGCACGTGCTGTCGGGGAGAAGAAATACTTGGTAAGTTCGTATTTATTGAAATGTAACTTTATATTTTGTTCATTGAAATAAACGCTTGCTATTACTAATGTTGAATTAAATTAAGTATTAATTGCTTAATTATTAGTAACACACGTATATACTTATTATGTTTATCTCCGTATTGATTAGCCATTATTATTATTATTAATCTTATTTCTGAATTTACTTAATATATTTTGTTTAAGTGCATCACCGAAGTTTTAATTTTATGTGTGCAGTATCTAATGTTACGTATTTTCTTTTATAAAAGTTTTTTTTTATTATTTCATTACTGTTTTACGAATTTTTAACCTAATCATTTATACAAAGCTTAACAGTTTTTAAAAATGTAATTGAAAGTAAACCTATACAATAAATCTAGTTAAATTAATAATTACGTATATCAGTTAACAAACGTATGTACGCTAATATGTGAGTGTGTAGAATAAATATAATAGCTAATATGTGAGTGCATTGTATAATGAGTGTAAGTATAAGTGAGAATGGCAAACTTTTAAAGTTATGTGATCAAAGCGTTCAGTATTTGAAGAACAGTCTAGTAAAAACGTTTGTTTTATTGTGAGTTTAATTATGTATTAACTTATCACTATTGAAAGATGTATTTTATGTGGTTTCTAAATTTATACTGTGTATTTGCATACAATGTATTTAAATATTAAAGCAGTAAATTCATCTTAACATTCCATAAATAGTGTTTAGTTTACCAAACAAAGTCTTTCTTCAGATTTCACGTATATATTTTACTGTTCAATATTCTAAATATTCTAAACATGATTCGCCTGAAGTTTGATATTATTTTCATTTGACTGTTTCAGCATGTTTTAAAATATCAAAATTATCATCATTGATGCAAGTAATAATTTCAGTATATAATAATAGATATCTTAATAGAAGCTTAGGTGTTCTTCAGATACGAATTTCTTGAAGTCTCATTTATTCAAATGTTTGAATGACATTTGAAATTCTCCACCGTTGGTTTATGGTGTGTATCGAATTTCAATGTATAATTATGCAAATTTAAATTGTTATAACATTTAGTATTTATATAACTGATTTTTGTACTGTTTTTACAGAAAATATGCCATTTAAATGCTGTGTAACTGGTTGTCGGGGAAATTATAAAGGTACTGAAAAGGTGCATACATTTTCCTTTCCCAAAAATGATGCTCTTAGAGAGAGGTGGCTAAGAAATATACCTAGGAAGGACTTCTCAGCAACTCCATATTCTCGGGTAGGTGTAATCCTAATTAATTTATTAAGATTCAATAAATTGTTGGTAGAATAATTCTTAGTCTGCTATGGAAACTTTCTGCAAGCTATAATTTTTACCTCCCGCCAACATGTATAAATAGGTTTCAGTGTATAGTTTTCTATTTGATGAATCAACAAATTACATTTAATTTAAAAACAATCAAGGGCTAATGATACTTCGAAGCTCGTTGCTGTATAAGCCATAGAATAGGCAGGAGGTCGTATGCTGTCATGATCAGATTTTTTATATGTAGTGTTAACTGATCCTTAAATATTTGAAAAAAAAAATAATTTGCATATATGCATTTAAAATTTAACCTGCCCAAAGCATTGCCAAAGCTTGAATGTTTTTATTTATAAGGAAAGTGATTCAATCTTGCTTTACAGTTGGTTGTTTTAAGAAGTTAGTTACATGATGTCTTCCTTTTACTTAATATGTGTGCCATAAACATTTTCAACCTGATGACCTCATCTGGGAAACATCAGCTTTCGATGAAAAAAATGGGAAAATCATTAAAGCTTCACTGCAGAGACCAAAACTAAAAGAAGGCGCTTTTCCTAGCATATTTGATGGCTGTCCATCGTATTTTATCTTCACAAGCTGGTAGTTCGAGAAAAAGTCCGTCCGAATGAGAAAAAAATGGAACGAGAAGCAAACCTCATGATGAAAGCTATTGCTCATAGTAAATTATCAGCTGCTGAGTATTATAAATCGAGGACATTTTCAGACTTTAATGAACTTTAACTGTTTAACTCTTAAGTTCAAGTATTCCGATAGTAAATAAATTTTTATTGCGGAAATATAGTTTCTGGATTATTCTGAGGTTCATTATTTAACGCAATTCATACTCGTATGCCGGAGAATCGTATCGGAAGTTCCGCCTTTCATATTATACGGCCTAGTGCTCGTGACGTCACAGACCAGTCCGACGGCTTTATATCTAGGAGGCACTGGTCGGATACGATTTCTCAAAGGAGCTTACTCCTACTTGATCGCATTGGACGTTAAACTCCGCAAACCTAAGGTTTTGCATACCCTAGGCCTAGAAGCATAGCACTTTAAGAGGTCGTTCGAGGGCAGGTGAGGCTATGGTAAAGATAGTGGTCATGCAAGCTGCTAACTCATAATAATAATGAAAAATGAAATATTCGCTGAGCGGAAAATTCAAATAACTGGAGATGAAACATATAGTGGCGCCATCTATTGATATTAGAGAAAACGTAAAACTTATGCATTTTATATTTCTTAGTAACACCTTTTATAGGTGTGTGGCGAGCGGGATTAATTAATGAAATGATTCTATAGGATGTGAAATAAAATGTATAGCATTTAAGACTTTTTAATATGAAGTTTTTTTATTAATTCCTGAACATAAGAATAATCTTCCGAGCAGCAATTTTGATGGAAAAGATATTTCTTCATTTTACCAGCGTATTTCAATCTTTCAAAGTAATGTAAATGAATTTATCTGAAATTTCATACACACAAATGCATATAATCACACCCATCTAAATTCTGAACGCTATCTGGACTTCGTACTTGCGAGCAGCAACGAATGTTTACGAATGTATTTGGTTTCTATTATTTCAGGATATGAGCAGTGCTAACAAGAAACATTTCATACTAATTTAAGCAAGGAAAATATATATATTGAGGGAGGAATGAGAACTAAATTTGCATTTTATTTTATCTCATTTTCTTATTACAGCATTAAAATTATTATTACAGCATTAAAATACTATTATAAGAGATGACCTCAACGTAAAACTGCTAAATTAACGTATGTTCGTGGAGGCTGGGAGTCGTCTGAGAAGTAATCGTCTAGGAAGCTGAATTTACAATCATTTTAATTTTCTTAGTTTCGTAAAGATATTTTAGTTATTTACTATGCTGTTTGCATATAGATATAGATATAAAAGATAAATTATAATTTCTATTAGCAATAGCCCCTTTATGCTTAATTTATCACTTCCTCTCTATTCTAAAAACAGTAATTTTTTTCTGCACTGCGCCATTTCAATGCTAATCCATGTCATATGACTCTTACATAACACTGATAATGTAAATGGAAATAAATTTCTAACAGTCAGTAATAATTTTACAGCAGTCTTAATTATCCAATAAAAATGTATTGAGAATCAAAACTGAACCATCCTGAACTAAGATTTCCTGAACACGACTGCTCCTGCTTTCTACACTTCAGCTTAGCTGGACTGCTGCGTTGCTGCTTTCTTACTGCAAAGCCATAAAAATTGTGAACATTTTGAAACAGGCACAACTAGTGTGCCAAGTCGTTTGTAGCCTAACATGTTTACTGAAAACAAATGAAGATTCATTCTGCCTCGGTTGCCAGGTTGCTTTTCATTATGTACCTGCGTTCTGCGCCATCAATATTGTTACGCCTTTTTCCTTCCATCTACCTATGAATCCAGTGGCGTAGCTAGGGTGGGGCAAGGGGGGACATCTGTTCCCGGGCGCATATTTCACAAGTGCACATCTGTGTAGCCACCGAGGGAGTGGCTTCTAGGGTGGACCAATGATCATCCAGTAATATTTCTGTCATGTCACATGACCTTTCGTGTGCTTTAAGATTTAAGCAAGATGACTGAAAATATTCTGCTACGCAATTTTTTTTACAAAATAATTAAAGCATCGTCGATTGCTTCTAAAACTTTTCATTGCGAAGTTAGGTGAAATATAGGAATTTATGAAGATTTCATTATCTGGTTGAAATAAATACAAACACATGTTGGAAACTTCGCAAAATTCGATGTGAAATATATTTTAATAGTATAAATAAGATGAAGAAAGAATATGTGATAAACATCTGAGCCCAAATGCAATCTTTACATAAAACTTTACTAATTTGCATTCCTATACATTTAGAGCATTAAATTTCTCATTTAATAAACGCTAACTCTTAAATGTACTGTCTACAACAAGAAAATACTCATCAAACAGAGGGAATTTATCATCGAGTATATTCAATTTTTTCACATATAATTTTTAATGTTAAACAATGGATATAATCAGATCATATGTATTCTGAATCTTACATTTTAAAAATCAAAAGAATGCAAGCTCTGAAATAAGAAAACACTAGAGTCATTGTAACACTTTCAGTCATTTCTCAGCTGAATTAAATATATATATATATACACTTGGAATTCTCTTAATCCACAAATCCACAGGTGTTAGTACATGCATAATATTCAAGGTTAAGTGCTGCTTGAGTCATTTTCTCGATGTAAAGAGAGATAACGTCAATCCTAATATTAATTACGTCCGTGAACGTCAATCCTAATATTAATACGTGATAAAAATCGCGCAAAACGAAATGTGAGCGGATTAATTAAACTCATAAAGCGAAAGCACTACGAGATTTTCTACTATTGCCCCATACATTTATAACTGCGAAACAAATGCAAATTAAAAACGTAAACAACATACGCCCACATGCACGAAGATTTAGTATCAAAGAGCAATAGCAGCTCATTGGTCCATTTTCGAAACCCCTCCCTCAGTGGCTGCGCTGATGTGCACTTGTGAAATATGCTTCCCGGGCGCAGCATCCAAGGGGCGCCAAATTGATGCTAGGAAATTTTTTAATGAAATGTTTTTCATTCTTGGCACACAGAAAGGGGCGCAAATTCTTCAGTTGTCCCCGGGCGCTGGAAACTCTAGCTACGCCCCTGTATGAATCTGTCTACCTATATAGATAGACAGATAGATATATACACCACCGTGTCCATGAAAGTTCTTAACAGGCCTTTATTTTTACAACCGTTGGTCGGAGACATATACTTACTCTTATAAAAATGTTTTAAATGATGCAAATATTCATGCTTCGGCTTTTTTAAATTACGAAAAAAATAAATTTTGTGAACATTTCAAAATCTCAATTTTTACAGGTTCCTTTGGTTCCTTCCTACACTTAAATTTAGGAAAATGTTTTACTCGTTGTAGAAAACAGAACACAAAACGCATAACTCTGGTACGACAAAACATGACTGAAAATTAAATATTTAATTTCAAAACTTTCAGTTTTTTACTCCATTTTTAACTTGCATTGAGGGGTCAGTTATTAAGTAAATTAGAATAACTCAGGATTAATTTTTATCCCGTGAGTGCAATCCAATGATATTCTTTCGAGATTCATTCTTTATTTATTATCATGTCTTCAGTTTATAGTTTTGTTATATTTGGTAGACCTAAAGAATTTTCACGCAAGTAATTTATGAGTTGACAAAGTCTAAAAATACGTTATTGATATTCTCATGAAGTTTTGTTACTTTAGAATCATAATCCGATAATGGTACAAAAATTCATTAAACAACTTATATTTTTCCTTTTTAATTAATGCAAATAATATTACGAATTTGCTATGCTCAACTCTGTAACCAACTTTCGTTTTCTAGAAGAAAACTTATAAGACATATAAATAAGATCTCCATTTTAGAAACCTTCATATTGATCAATATTTTCCACAACAATCTGCAAAGAAATCCTCATCATCTAATCTCTTAACGTAAAAATATTTTTCTAAACTGATATTTTATTTTCAGTTATGTAGAAATTGAAATTTTTAGGTCTCCAATTTGTGTACGGCCCCTGAATATTACACAGCCTTATAATGAAAAAACAAACCGATTTGCGCATTGCAAGATTCAGCATCGCTAAAATCTTTGAAATTTACTCAGTTTGAAACTTGATTAAGCACTCAAAGTTAGAGGGATAAAAGTATTTCAACTTTAAGTATCCCTTTATGGAACTTTTAAGAATCATCTAAACTCATTTCAAGTATACTTCCGCTTTCGCCCTACCAAGACATACATTTTGCGTGTGAAAACTGAACATGGCTGACAGAATTTATTTCTTCATTTGGTGTTATTTAAGAAAATGATCACGAAATATTTTATATATTCTTAATGCCTTACTAGACGCAGTAATATTACGTAAACTGACATCACTTTCATTTTATTTTCTAGTCATGAAATAAGAATATGAAGGTAATATTCATTGCCTCCATAAAACATAGATTTAACACTTTTGGTAGGATAAAGTTTAAGAAAGGAACAATCTTCTGTTGCATTTAAGAAGTGAAAGTCTACTCTTGCTATTACGAGTATTTAGGAGGAAGAATCGGATGGCAAATGCACTAGAACATTTGAGTACAAACGGTGATGAGCAAACCATTCTGGACGTAGATGTAATTTTAAATATATAGCATAAAAGAATAAGGTTTACAGAAATATGAACCAGGAAAAGAAGCTGAAAGAAATTTTTTCCTTCGTACCAGAAATTATTTACTTTATTTACCCATTTTTTAAAAGCTTGCGGATAGCTTATTCCCTAAACATATTCTGAATTCAAAGTATTTTTATTCCGTTATGGTTACAGATTTTTTTGCACCATTATGCTATTACTACATTATGTTTATCATATATTAAAAACTATTATTTTTATATTAATATTACTCTACAAATATTATAGGAATAATTTATTCTCAATAATAACGTGTTCAGGTTTTAGAGATGGTAACGCTTCACACGAAAAGTGCCCTGGGCTCTTTTTTAAATTCTTTTTAATTCTATTAGTAATAGATTA